TTGAACACTGTGTGGGGTCGGCCAGTTATGTCCCTTATGTGTAGTGGAAGCGTGTTGAACAGTCTCGGGCCTCTGATGTTGATAGTTCTCTCTTGAACACTGTGAGGGGTCGGCCAGTTATGTCCCTTATGTGTAGTGGAAGCGTGTTGAACAGTCTCGGGCCTCTGATGTTGATAGTTCTCTCTTTAACACTGTGAGGGGTCGGCCAGTTATGTCCCTTATGTGTAGTGAAAGCGTGTTGAACAGTATCGGGCCTCTGATGTTGATAGTTCTCTCTTGAACACTGTGAGGGGTCGGCCAGTTATGTCCCTTATGTGTAGTGGAAGCGTGTTGAACAGTCTCGGGCCTCTGATGTTGATAGTTCTCTCTTGAACACTGTGAGGGGTCGGCCAGTTATGTCCCTTATGTGTAGTGGAAGCGTGTTGAACAGTCTCGGGCCTCTGATGTTGATAGTTCTCTCTTGAACACTGTGAGGGGTCGGCCAGTTATGCCCCTTATGTGTAGTGGAAGCGTGTTGAACAGTCTCGAGTCTCTGATGTTGATAGTTCTCTTTCTTGAACACTGTGAGGGGTCGGCCAGTTATGCCCCTTATGTGTAGCGGAAGCGTGTTGAACAGTCTCGGGCCTCTGATGTTGATAGAGTTCTCTCTCAGAGTACCTGTCGCACCTCCGCTTTTCAACGGGGGTATTCTGCACATCCTGCCATGTCTTCTGGTCTCATGTGGCGGTATTTCTGTGTGCAGGTTTGGGACCAGCCCCTTTACTATTTTCCACGTGTAAATTGTTATGTATCTTTCGGTTTAAAATGGGCTGTCATTGTGCAGCAGTACTCCACTCTAGAGAGCACTAGCGTCTTGAAGAACATCATCACTAGTATAGCATCTCTAGTGTGAAAGGTTCTTGTTATCCAACCTGTCATTTTTCTTGCAGTTGTGACGGCTACTTTATTGTGTTCTTTAAAGGTAAGGTCTTCCGACATGAGTACACTCAGATCCTTTACATTGCCTTTTCGTTCTTTGCCACGTCCCAAATTTGCATCAATATCTGGAGCGAATAAGTAGTAGAAGTAGAATAACAGTAGTACATTAACAACATACTGAAGCGAAAGATACGGAATGAAATGCAGAATAGGTCCAGTGAGGAGTAGAGGTGCCATAGGCACAGTCAGAGAACACTGTCTGAACATCAGAGGTCCACAGCTGTTCAACACCCTCCCAGCAAGCATTAGAAATATTGCTGGAACAACCGTGGATGTATTCAAGAGCACTTGGATGAGTTCCTGCAAGAAATGCCGGACCAACTAGGCTGTAGTGGATATGTGGGCCTGCTGGCCGCTCCAAGCAACAGCCTGGTGGACCTAGTTATCACAAGTCAAGCCTGGCCTCAGGCCGGGCTCGGGGAGTAGAAGAACTCTCAGAACCCTCTCCAGGTATGCTCCAGGTATTCTCCAAGTATGCCCCAGATATGCCCCAGGTATGCTCCAGGTGTGCCCCAGGTATGCCCCAGGTATGCTCCAGATATGCCCCAGGTATGCCCCAGGTATGCTGGAGGGAACTGAGACTCAAATATGATGTTATCATATCTGTCACTGTCAGTATTGGCAGTCGCTCCCCGACAGTGTTACCAGTAATTAACAACCAGTGTTGCCACACCAGCTGGGGGGTGTGCAGCGTTACCAAGCCAGCCCAAGATCATTACTCAGTTTAAAAGTTCCTTAATGAACTCGGTTGTGTATGTAGTTCCTAAACATTCTTTTGCTTGGAGGTCTTGGCTGATGGGAGTAGGGCAGGGAAGCTGAGGAGGGGTGGAGTGGGGTAAGCTGAGGAGGGGTGGAGTAGGGTAAGCTGAGGAGGGGTGGAGTAGGGTAAGGTGAGGAACTTGCCTCACTCCAGTTAGAGAGCTCCAAGCTTGAGAGCTTGAGAGTATAGATGGATTTAGAGCGTGAAGATCGTGTCTGTCACAGTTACTCATCCACAATGACAGAATCTTAGGGGTATGCGGTTTGAACATATTTCTAGTGCTACTGAGCTTATTTTTTCCCCAGGCACTGGTTCAGGTTTGCATTTTCTAGCTGTTCTTCCCAGTTTATTTCTGTGAAGTCTTGGTTTATTTGCTCCCAGTTAATCTGTTTATTATTGAAATTGAATTTGCTGAAATCTCCTCCACCGGGAATCGGGACTGGTTTTGAAGGTCTATTCCCCATGGTTGTCAGAACTTTAATTAAGTTGTGATCTGAGTAACAGGTATTTGTAAATTGGTGAAAATGAGGTCCAGTGTGTTCTCCTTCCTAGTTGGTTCTACTATTTGCTGGTTTAAGGCAAACCTGTCGCACATCCGTAGCAGGTCATTTGCATGTGCCTGTTCATTTAGGCTACTTCCTGGTATTCTTTCCGATATGACTGTATTAGCCAGGTGCTTCCATTTCAGGCGCCGTAGGTTGAAGTCCCCAAGCAGGATGATGTTCGGAGCTGGATTTGTGAGGTTTTCCAAGCAGTGTTCTATTTTCATTAGTTAGTCTTTAAACTGCTGAGGGTTTGCCTCCGGTGTATCTAATGTATCGTGTGCCCAAGGTGTTTGACGTCACTATACCTTGCGATGATTTCGGGGCTTAGCGTCCCCGCGGCCCTGTCCTCGTTCTGGCCTCTATGACGTCATAATTGTAATTGTGGCCGAGGTTTTGGATCCCAGCGACTTTTGAACTGTTGACCTTTAACCTTTTGAACTGTTTCACTGGTGGTGGGGGGGGGGGTTAATTGACCCTTTGAACTCTTCATGGGTGAGTCTGTCAGTATTCCTACCGTTTTTTTTTTTTGTTTTTTTTTACCCAACAGAGTTTGTTGGACTAACCTTTAGCTCCTGGGCCCAGCCTTTCCAACTGATGGTTGTTTAATGCAATGAATGATGATCCGTTTGTTTGTGGTCAGGTGGTTGTAGAGCCGAGGGCGGAGGTGCTCTACTGATTACCCATCTAGTTCCTTCCCTGTGACTCCTCACACGGAATTTGGTGTTTCATTATTCTCTTTACTACTTCGCATGATTTGTTCCTTAAGCACGCTGACCCTCGTTTGAGGGTCACTTGAGGCAAGCGTTAAGCACGCTTGCCTTCCTTCATATGCTCTTGAGTGCTAGTTGACGATTTCCACGTTCTGCTACTCCCACAGCCTGTGTGTCTATCTCTAGGTATCTGCCCGTCTCTAGCATTGGGGAACACCGGGAATCATGATGATTATCTTGAGATGATTTCGGGGCTTTTGGTGTCCCCGATGATGATGATAATGTTTATTTAGGAAAAAACATACATTCAAAATGAGTTACAAGCAGAATGTTGGATTTCTAGATGCAGCTAGTATATACTATGCCTCAAGCCACTAACTAGTACGCACAGCGTTTCGGGCAAAAAAGAACGGTTAGCATAGGGTCTCAGCCGCTTCCTCTAGGGTCTCTGGAACTATGCTCAATCCCGTATATATTGTTGTTGTTGTTCTAGCTCGTCCTTAAACCTTTTATTTGACTCTTCACATAATTCCACATCGTTCTCTGTTAGCGCTCCACATCTTATAGTGTACTCACCTAGTTGTACTCACCTAGTTGTGTTTGCGGGGGTTGAGCTCTGGCTCTTTGGTCCCGCCTCTCAACCGTCAATCAACAGGTGTACAGATTCCTGAGCCTATCGGGCTCTGTCATATCTACACTTGAAACTGTGTATGGAGTCAGCCTCCACCACATCACTGCCTAATGCATTCCATTTGTCAACCACTCTGACACTAAAAAAGTTCTTTCTAATATCTCTGTGGCTCATTTGGGCACTCAGTTTCCACCTGTGTCCCCTTGTGCGTGTTCCCCTTGTGTTAAATAGACTGTCTTTATCTACCCTATCAATCCCCTTCAGAATCTTGAATGTGGTGATCATGTCCCCCCTAACTCTTCTGTCTTCCAGCGAAGTGAGGTTTAATTCCCGTAGTCTCTCCTCGTAGCTCATACCCCTCAGCTCGGGTACTAGTCTGGTGGCAAAGTGTGTGTGTGTGTGTGTGTGTGTGTGTGTGTGTGTGTGTGTGTGTGTGTGTGTGTGTGTGTGTGTGTGTGTGTGTGTGTGTGTGTGTGTGTATTTACTAGTTGTGTTTTTGCGGGGGTTGAGCTTTGCTCTTTCGGCCCGCCTCTCAACTGTCAATCAACTGTTTACTAACTTTTTTTTTTTTTTTTTTTTTCCCACACCACACACACTCACACACACACACCCCAGGAAGCAGCCCGTGACAGCTGACTAACTCCCAGGTACCTATTTACTGCTAGGTAACAGGGGCATTCAGGGTGAAAGAAACTTTGCCCATTTGTTTCTGCCTCGTGCGGGAATCGAACCCGCGCCACAGAATTACGAATCCTGCGCGCTATCCACCAGGCTACGAGGCCCCTGTGTGTGTGTGTGTGTGTGCGCGCGCGCGCGCGCGCGGGGCTATTTTGGGCAGACGCTCCACTATTTACGCCGCTCTAGAATGGGCACGGCTAATGGCTAGTATGGATATTGATAGTTGTAATAGCAGTAGTATATTCAGTAGCAAGATATGTGGGCCTGCGAGCCGCTCCAAGCAACAGCCTGTTGAGCCAAGCTGTCACAAGTCGAGCCTGGCCTCAGGCCGGGGTCGGGGAGTAGAACAACTCCCAGAACCCTCTCCAGGTAGGCTCCAGGTATTAGTAAAAAGTATTGGTGCCATCGTCACTGCCCAGTACTCTCCTTGTGATGGTGTGGTGTTCACTCACAGGATGAGTACTGCTGCCCAGTACTCTCCTTGTGATGGTGTGTTCACTCACAGGATGAGGAGTACTGCCCAGTACTCTCCTTGTGATGGTGTGGTGTTCACTCACAGGATGAGTACTGCTGCCCAGTACTCTCCTTGTGATGGTGTGGTGTTCACTCACAGGATGAGGAGTACTGCCCAGTACTCTCCTTGTGATGGTGTGTTCACTCACAGGATGAGGAGTACTGCCCAGTACTCCTTGTGATGGTGTGTTCACTCACAGGATGAGGAGTACTGCCCAGTACTCTCCTTGTGATGGTATTAATATGTTGACTTACAAAACGAGAGGCACCGACTGAACTAAACTTAAATTTCATGCTCAATCGAATTAGCTGGAAATCCGGAGATTGTGTGAGAGAATTGGTTCATCTTTCTGATATAAAATTGTGTAATGTTTTATTTTGATCCCAGAGTGTGAAATAGTGTGAGTTGCGGTCATCATTGTGTCGTGGTGGTAAATTGCCAGCGACTGTTAGTGTCGATTTCCCCGGCGCTGTTGCGTAATAATTGTCAACAGAAAACCGGAAAGACTATGTTGCTCCGTGGTTATATTGTGTGTGGGTGTGTGTATTTAATCAAATATACTTCCCTCAGGCAGTATACTTGGACTGTGTAAGTATATTCGTGTATACTACAACGGCTGTGTAGTCCTCGGGATAGTGTGTTGCGGATATGTTTCGCCCCGAGGGCCAAGGGGCTATCTAGTGTTGATGATGGTGTGTGTTGAGAGGGCCGGTGAGGGAGTGTGGACCACAGTGCCTGGTGCCATAGTGACCTGGCCCGCTGCTCGTGGCTGGTGACCCGTGCTGGTGACCTGGCCATGGCCAGCACCACACGGTAACTTGACCGGGAGGCCAAGGGCGCATCCAAGATGTCGCTGCTGGAGGCCATGAAGGCATGGACGCTGGGGCCATGGGCGAGACGGAGGGACAAAAAGCGTGTGAGTGTGGCACTGTGGGGGGGCCGCCCCGCCGAGTCCGACTCTCACCTCTTGGGCACTCCGGGCATATACCGCAGGAGGCTCTCGTCTCCTGGCGATGCCCACATCGACACACTCTTCCCTTCCACCGTGCCCACTCATACCCACATGCTGGATGGGTACCCAACGACTCACCAACTGGGCATCGCCACACTGGACGATTCTTCGCCTCCGAAAGACGACGACCTCAATGGCAACATCGACTGTGAATACTTCGATGTTCGTTCTGACGGGGAGGTGTTGGAGCCTGGTCGCTGCCCGGGGTATGCTAGCGACTCGGAAAAGGACGAACTCAACACAGACAGACTATCCTTAGCTTGGGTACCAACTACGGACCTGAAAGCAAGACTATCTTTTTCTGAAGGTGTCAAGTGCCCCGAGCCGCAGGAACCAGTCGATGGGGCACTGGTGACCCTGGAAGTGCCAGTATTCGAGGCACTTGATGCTTCCAGGGTGCCAAACCACTCGTTGTTAGAGACATGTGAAGTATCTGAAGCCCCGAGAGTGCCATGTCGTGGCTCCCTGGCGCCCCGCGAGGTGCCACAGGTGGATGAAGCGACAGACAGCAGTAGGGTAGCCGGCCAGGGGGCGTGGGCATCGTGCAGGGGCAGCCAGGGCATGACCTTCGGGGAAGCCCTGTGGGCTGAGGTCACGGCAGAGCTGAAGGATGTTTGGGACGAGATCGACCTCATCGACGACTCCCCCACACGCGGCGCTGACTCCCGCCTCTACAACCACCCAGCCCTGAAGCTTGCGTCCTGCGTCTATGACTCCTCCAAGCAGAACACTGCGTCCTGCGTCTATGACTCCTCCAAGCAGAACACTGCGTCCTGCGTCTATGACTCCTCCAAGCAGAACACTGCTTCTTGCGTCTATGACTCCTCCAAGCAGAACACTGCGTCCTGCGTCTATGACTCCTCCAAGCAGAACACTGCTTCTTGCGTCTATGACTCCTCCAAGCAGAACACTGCGTCCTGCATCTATGACTCCTCCAACCAGAACACTGCGTCCCGCGACTCGCCAACGCAAATTATTGCGTCCTGCATCTACGACTCCCAGAGCATTGCATCATACGTCTACGACTCTGCCACCAAGAGCGTTGCGTCCCTCGTCGACGACTCTGAGGCTCCTGGGAGGGTTGCGTCGCGCCACACCCATGCAGGTACTCACCCCACACCCACCCTACACCCATGCTTGTGGGTAACCGGCCCCCATACTAATGCCCTGTGTTGGCTCCTCGTGACGTGTGCGTTTATCTTACACAACCATATTAACACAAGCGGGATCACAAGACTGTGATGGTGGCTCTGAGGACGCGTCTCTGGGGCCACCCGGGACGCTGGGACTTCTTGGCCCCGCGTCCTCCACCAAAGATTTGATCTTGCAGAATAACAATGTGTGTGTGTGGCTTAGTGTTAGTTAACTAAGTTAAGTGTTAGTAAGCCGTTAGTTAACGGCTTAGTTAACAATCTGGTGGTTGGTGAGCCCTTGTAGACCTTCCTGCAGGCCCTGTAGGAGGTAAATAGTGGCACTGTCAGCTGACTGCCAGGGGGTCAGGAGTCATTAAACATTTACGGATCCACTTACGAAACCTGTACATCTTTCCCTCAGTCATGTTGACGTATATTAAACATGGTAGGAGCACCGAGGTGCTACGAGGCCTGTTATTACAGTAACAACCTTGGCTTGTCACGTTTCCAAAATCGTAACCTGTTAATTCAATTGAGCCAAGGAACCATGGCCGAGCAAGGATGTAGAGGTTTCGTAGATTGAATAGTAAGTGGGATTTACGTGTCGTAAGTGTTGCATGACTCGCTGGCCACCTCTGTGCTCGGACCTCTTAGATGCTCTTTTGTTTGTGTGATCCAATAATTGTATTAAGGTAAGTTTTGTTACCTTTGAACTGCTTTGCATAATCGAGGAAACTGATTAACTTGACTCTTAGCATCAGCATCCAGCATTTGATATCTAGATTAATTTAAGTGGTGGTCATATTGGCGTGGGCAGGGGGAGGGGGGGTGTCAGCGGCAGGTGTGTGGTGTCCTCGGCAGGTGTGTGGTGTCCCCGTAGCTGGCCCAGGTGTGTGTGGTGTCCCCGTAGCTGGTCCAGGTGTGTGTGTGGTGTCCCCGTAGCTGGTCCAGGTGTGTGTGTGGTGTCCCCGTAGCTGGTCCAGGTGTGTGTGGTGTCCCCGTAGCTGGTCCAGGTGTGTGTGGTGTCCCCGTAGCTGGCCCAGGTGTGTGTGGTGTCCCCGTAGCTGGCCCAGGTGTGTGTGGTGTCCCCGTAGCTGGTCCAGGTGTGTGTGGTGTCCCCGTAGCTGGTCCAGGTGTGTGTGGTGTCCCCGTAGCTGGTCCAGGTGTGTGTGGTGTCCCCGTAGCTGGCCCAGGTGTGTGTGGTGTCCCCACAAGTAGCTGGCCCAGGTGTGTGTGGTGTCCCCGTAGCTGGTCCAGGTGTGTGTGGTGTCCCCGTAGCTGGTCCAGGTGTGTGTGGTGTCCCCGTAGCTGGTCCAGGTGTGTGTGGTGTCCCCGTAGCTGGCCCAGGTGTGTGTGGTGTCCCCGTAGCTGGCCCAGGTGTGTGTGGTGTCCCCGTAGCTGGTCCAGGTGTGTGTGGTGTCCCCGTAGCTGGTCCAGGTGTGTGTGGTGTCCCCGTAGCTGGTCCAGGTGTGTGTGTGTGGTGTCCCCCGTAGCTGGTCCAGGTGTGTGTGGTGTCCCCGTAGCTGGTCCAGGTGTGTGTGTGTGGTGTCCCCGTAGCTGGTCCAGGTGTGTGTGGTGTCCCCGTAGCTGGTCCAGGTGTGTGTGTGGTGCCCCCGTAGCTGGTCCAGGTGTGTGTGGTGTCCCCGTAGCTGGTCCAGGTGTGTGTGGTGTCCCCGTAGCTGGCCCAGGTGTGTGTGGTGTCCCCGTAGCTGGTCCAGGTGTGTGTGTGTGTGGTGTCCCCCGTAGCTGGTCCAGGTGTGTGTGTGTGGTGTCCCCCGTAGCTGGTCCAGGTGTGTGTGGTGTCCCCGTAGCTGGTCCAGGTGTGTGTGTGTGGTGTCCCCGTAGCTGGTCCAGGTGTGTGTGGTGTCCCCGTAGCTGGCCCAGGTGTGTGTGGTGTCCCCGTAGCTGGTCCAGGTGTGTGTGGTGTCCCCGTAGCTGGTCCAGGTGTGTGTGGTGTCCCCGTAGCTGGTCCAGGTGTGTGTGGTGTCCCCGTAGCTGGTCCAGGTGTGTGTGGTGTCCCCGTAGCTGGTCCAGGTGTGTGTGGTGTCCCCGTAGCTGGCCCAGGTGTGTGTGGTGTCCCCGTAGCTGGTCCAGGTGTGTGTGGTGTCCCCGTAGCTGGTCCAGGTGTGTGTGGTGTCCCCGTAGCTGGCCCAGGTGTGTGTGGTGTCCCCGTAGCTGGCCCAGGTGTGTGTGGTGTCCCCGTAGCTGGTCCAGGTGTGTGTGGTGTCCCCGTAGCTGGCCCAGGTGTGTGTGGTGTCCCCGTAGTTGGTCCAGGTGTGTGTGGTGTCCCCGTAGCTGGTCCAGGTGTGTGTGGTGTCCCCGTAGCTGGTCCAGGTGTGTGTGGTGTCCCCCGTAGCTGGCCCAGGTGTGTGTGGTGTCCCCCGTAGCTGGTCCAGGTGTGTGTGGTGTCCCCGTAGCTGGTCCAGGTGTGTGTGGTGTCCCCGTAGCTGGCCCAGGTGTGTGTGGGGGCTGACCTGTGCTGCTCCTCTGCCCACCCCTCGGCCAGCCCTCCTCTGGGATGAGGGCTGGTGTGTCTATCATGAACAGTACACGACACACCCACACCAGACTTCCCTCCCCCTCCTCCACCTCCCCCCCCCCTCCCCCCTCGCCCCAACCCCACCTCCCCCCTCCAACACACCACCTCCACCTCACTTGGAGGGTATCCCAGTTGGGTTTACTTGGGAGAGTAAAAATGTGGAGGTGAAAGTTGTTTTTCTCTCACTGATGTGTTAAGAACCACTGAGGAGGAAGTGGTGTCATCTAGCTCACCTAGTTGTGCTTGCGGGGGGGTTGAGCTCTGGCTCTTTGGTCCCGCCTCTCAACTGTCAATCAACTGTTTCTAACTACTATTTATTTTTTTGCACCACACACACACACACACACACACACACACACACACACACACACACCAGGAAGCAGCCCGTGACAGCTGACTAACTCCCAAGTACCTATTTACTGCTAGGTAACAGGGGCATCAGCGTGAAAGAAACGGCCCATTTGTTTCTGCCTTATTACTGTTGGGGATGTTGCTACTGTTGGTGTTGCTGTTGCTAGTAATGGTGCTAATACCGTTGTCTGTTCCTGACAGAGTTGCTACTTTTTCTGCTGCTGTTGTCGGCGCCGTTGTTGCTGGAGTTTCACGTCTGTTAGTACTGTTGGTGATGACCCTTCACAACGGTTGCTTCTGACTGTTGTGGCACGCACACTGTCAAGCAGTTGTCAGTTGGAAATTCTAGTGATTCTCTTCGATGCGTGCGGCGATGACGCACTCATTCACTCGCGCATTTACTCATCCCGTTAACCACGCACTCACTCATCCTCTCAGCCTGACACTCACTCATCCTCTCAGCCTGACACTCACTCATCCCCCGTCGTGGACAACGTACTCAGGCGTCATGAAGGCTGGACGATACTGGAGGGCCAGGTCCCAAGGTCCCACAGTAGAATAACAACATACTGGAGCGAAAGGTACGGAAGGAAATGCAGAATAGAACCAGTGAAGAGCAGAGGTGCCATAGGCACAATCAGAGAACACTGTATAAACATCAGAGGTCCGCGGTTGTTCAACACCCTCCCAGCGAGCATAAGAAATATTGCCGGAACGAGAATATAGCACAGACACAAGGGTGGCGTTGACCGGCGAGGCTTCAGGAGACACAGGCGGCAATGTGTTGTGTCGGAGGTAATCACAGTGCTGCAGGTACGCTGGTCTGGGGCGTGACACTGCGGACCGCTGCCTCCGACACCTTCCGTCTCCCTGGCCACTGACGTGTGACACATCTTGTCACCTGACAGCCGCCACTACTGTCGTGTCCACCCCCCACCGTCGTTCTCCTCAAACGCTAGTCTCAAAGTTTGCCTGACAGCTTCGGTTTACCGCCTGCACCCAACCACTTGGGCTGGACGGTAGAGCGACGGTCTGGCTTCTAATTGCAGGTCGGCGTTCATTCCCCGACCGTCCAAGTGGTTGGGCACTATTCCTTCCCCCCGTCCCATCCCAAATCTTTTATCCTGATCCCTTCCCAGTGCTATATAGTTGTACAACCCGTTCTCGCAAATTTAATAAGTCAATATTGACTTATTAGTTGCGTGCATAGGTGACATACTAAACATAATAGTTTCCCTTGAAAAGCTTCATAGAAAACACCGACCTTACCTAACCTACTTAGTATGTTAAAATAAGCATCTTATAGCTTCGTAATTACAATTGTTACTTAACCTATTATAGGTATAGGTTAGGTAATAATTGTAATTACGAAGCAATAAGATGCTTATCTTAACATACTAAGTAGGTTAGGTAAGGTCGGTGTTTTCTATGAAGCTTTTCAAGGGAAACTATTATGTTAAGTATGTCACCTATGCACATATTTAATAAGTCAATATTGACTTATTAAATTTGGGAGAACGGGTTGAGTTGTAATGGCTTGGCGCTTTTCCCCTGATAGTTCGTTTCCCCATCGAGTGACCGCTAGGCATAACTCGTGTATCACCGTAGGGCTCGTTAAGGGTCACCACAGTAGCACTGTACCACTTCAAGACACTGTAAGCTGCTACAGTGTATCGTACCTGAAGCCACGCTCCCGTACACCCCCCCACACCCCCCCCCCCCCTCTACCCCTACCTACCTACCTACCTCCTCAAAGTCATTCTCTCAGCAGACTATTAATTTGCATAATTAATTAGGACGACCTGCTAATTAAGACAGGGCCTAATATCCGTTTTGGTGCTAATGAGGTCATTGGTTAGATAGGGAAGATGGGCGGTGTAACCTGGGGTGACCTGCCGCCTCTTCCTCTCAACGCGGGATCACTCCTCCACAGAATATGATAATAATCATTTTAAATCATGATTATCCTAATCCCAATCAAATTAAAATGAGTCTACCTGTCAATGTTTATATTTTATAATTGAACTTATTATCTTTGTGGTGGATTGTTCATTTGGCAACTCATTCGTGCGTCAAGCTGAT